ATGGAATGATACACGTTGCTAGTCAAGGAATTTAATTTTAAATTTTAAATTATAAAATACCATTTTAACTTTTGAGAAAGAAAAAAGCAAGTACAAAAGGAAAACCACGAATTAGAGAGATAAACAAGGGAATCTGTAAAACTAAGCAGAGCGAAAAGAAACTATTGTATTGGCAGTTTCATAAAGAAAATTGATTGAAAGCGAGGGAGAGATAATTAGAGTTCTATTGCCATCAAATCTTACAATCGAAGCTCAAAATTAAAGCTTGAAAAAAGAAAAAGAAAAGGAGGTAGAGAAAATCAAGTGAGATTAACCTCGTCGTGAGTAGAAAGTGGAGGATGGTGGACAGGAGGCGGCGGAAGAGGAGCGGAAGCTGATGTGGCTGTAGGGGGCGGAGGAGCTGGTGCCGGCGGCCACTGCTGGTGATAAGGGTGGATTCCAGCACCCGCCATGCCTATATAGCGATTCAAAGCAGAAACCTGAAACCCTAAATCAATACTCGTCGGAGGGGAGAAAGAAAATTAAGATCCATGAACCCGAAATTTGATATAATGATGAGAAAAAAACCAACGAAATATAGCCTCTTTTATTTATTTGTCGAATATAACATCTTTACAAAAAGGATTAATGTAAAATAAGCCTTCAAAGCAGGTTGAAAGTAAGTGCGTAAATTTGTTAAATGATATGTATAGATTTTATAAAATTTTAAAAAATTTATTTAAAAAAGCTTTAAAAAATATTTAAAAATCATCATTATTGAAATTAATAAAATCAAACTTTCTTCAAAATTTAATTTCATTCTCTGTCACTGTCGTCCTTGCCAATCGACATCTATTTCAACGACGTGAGACTGCTTGAACATGCAATGATTGAAACACTTGCTCCAACATCTAATTGTAGCGAATAATAATCGATACTCATTTTCAGCCAATCGTGAAATTTTGTATTTACACGACCACTAAAAGTTCGATTGATCGTGAAAATAAGGGGTTTTGCTTATTGGATGGTTGGCCGGTCAAAAAGAGTTGGGTACTCTGTCAATTTGACGATGTTGGTGGTGACCGACAATACTAAAATGTTGAAATTATAATTTTTTGGGATTTTAGAGTTTTTTTTTTAATTTTAGAAAAATATTGAACTTTTTTAAAAATAAAATTTAATTTTGAGATTTTAAAATAAAATTGTATATGTTTGACATTAGTCACTTAACGGTCATTATAATCCATAGATCTAAAATTATAACATCAGAAACGTTAGACACCTAAAAGTATAATAAAAAGACATCTATTTTTAACGAAAAATTATTTAAATATACATTGAACACTTGTTATTACATATTGTCTAAAAAGAATTACATTTGATAATATTAATATAGTTTGAAAATATTAATAAATTAGAAAAAAAGTACACAAATAGTCTTCAACTACATAGCATTGCTTTGTTGGATCTTCCGATAATTAAATATTATAAAATGATCAATCAATTATATAACATTACTTTGTTTAGTTTTATATTATTAAAAGTTAGAAAATGGTTATAGGCTATTCATATATTCCAAACTTGTCATTTTTCTTAAAAAAAAAAACTAATGGTAGCATATGTCGATCTTTAACTTATTGGTTGAGATATGATAATCGTTTGATATTTTAGGATCAAATTTTATTATATCACAATCAATAGGTTAACGTTCAACTCAATTTATCATCAATTTTATCAGAAAAAGATGAGTTTGACACATATTAACGATTGAATGACCATTTTATAACTTTTAATAGTCGTAAGACTTAACAAAACAATATCTTATAATCAAGAGATCATTTTATAACATATAATAGTCTGAAGACTCAAAAAAATAATAATCTATAATTGAGGATCATTTGTATACTTTATCCTAAGATTTATAAATTTCATACACAATATAAAAATATAACATCTACTCCTTTAGATAATGATATTATTGATATTAAAAAAATATTTTTTTCTCAACCCTTGATCTGAATAAGTTATTTTACATTTTCATAATTTAATCATATTATCATAAGAATTTTAAGTTGAGACTAAAAATTTAAATCATAAAAAATATAAAGAATAAATTACAGAAAATTAAAATATAATGACTAAAACTGGAACATGTATAATACATGGAGTGATAACAAAATTTTACCAATAATTTATATTAATATTTTAAGGGGAAAAACGAAAGCCAAAACTCGTGGCTGTGGCTGTGCTGTGGTTGTGGTGGGCTGTGGGCTGTGGCTGTGCTTTCTGCTTCCTTTCTGACTGTCATTAAGCCCTTTCTTCATTCTCTTTGATTTTAGTCTTCAAATATTCATAAAAGGAGTCTCTCTCTTTTTTTTTTCTTTTATAAAAAACTGTAAGAATAGATCTGCTTCGAGTACGAGTATTAGATCTGCATCTTCTGTTATGGTATGCTCTATTTCTTTCTTCTTTTTTTTTACAGTTTTATCAGCTCAGCTATCACTCTGCTCGACCAATTGTTCTTCGATCGCTCTTACTTGACCTTATATATAAACAGTTACCCTAATTAATCCTCATGGAGTATTAATAGGAATTATGACATGCTATGTATATTGGTATCATTTCATATTGTTATAGTATTATGCATAAAAATACAGCATCGTTCAATTAAACACTGTTCTATTCTATACACTTTGATATGCAGAAAACTTCATGGAAAAAATGGAAATTGAGAAATTTTATAATTTGTGTGTGAAACTAGGGTTCCTATGTATTTCTAGAGGATTGACTTTCCACAGCTTGCTCTGATTTTAAGAAGTATGATGGCTGGCTATAATTATTAGATAGTATAACCTTTATGTTTTTAGGGCACTTTCAGGCAAAGCACTTAAATAGTAACAAGAGAAGAAAAAGAAGCGTGTATGGGATTGGTTGATTAGAGGGGTAATAACCCTTCTATTCATTCTTTCCTTACCTTTCATCTTTCATTTCTGTTCGGACAGTAGAAATGTCATGTATGATGTGTGTGGTTTTCCGATAATGTGGAATCGCTGCACGCTTGTTTTAATCCTCAGGAGTCTCTTTTCTTCCCATTGTTTGTAGATGAATGATAAATGTATCAACCAAAGATTGCTCTGGGCTCAAGTTTAGGCCGCAACAACTCATCGGTTCATGGTCAGCATTTAGATTGTGGTGCTATTATAATGCATGCTGTAGGTGGAGGGAATGACCACCCCAACAACTCTAATCTTGCATCAAAGCAACGGTTGCGCTGGACACATGAGCTTCATGAACATTTTGTTGACGCTGTTGCTCAACTTGGTGGACCAGATCATAAGTCTCGTCAAAGATAACACTATCTAATGATTGATTCCTAGCCTAAATGTATGTGCTTGTAACTGATTACGACGGTGAACGAGTTTGATTTCTCCCTCCTCGCAGGAGCTGCACCTAAAGGAGTTCTTAGAGTCATGGGTGTGTAGGGTTTGACAATATACCATGTCAAAAGCCATTACAGGTTCGTAGTTGTACCGACAGAATTTGATTCGGTTCGTATAACATACCCCTTTGTTGTCTCTGGCTTTTGCTGACTCCACTATCTTGATGCATCCAGAAATATCGGCTAGCAAAATATCTCCCTGAATCTTCTTCTGATGGTAGGTTTATCTGTTTCTTTTATCAATATTTGTTCTTTATACTGCTTCAACATCCTCAAGGTCATTTTAAACCCAAGTTGTTGTATACAATTTTTTCCTTATTAATACTGTTTGTTTATCGTATTTGTTAACGGAGGAAAAATGCCAGACAAGAAAGAAACTGCGGATATGCTTCCCGACTTGGACGGGTTAAAGTAAGTGGAGTATCAGCCTTTCGATTTGAACAGTTCTTGTTAGTTTCAACATGATCTTTTTAAATGGATTGATCAACTAGAATTGGAGAGTTGAGGGATTCTTTTCTCTGTTTGCAGTAGCAATCAAATTACGGAAGCTCTAAAGTTGCAGATGGAAGTTCAGAAGCGATTGCATGAACAATTGGAGGCATGTACTCTTGGTGCAAATTTACTATTAATTTGATTATATATTTATCAACGGATCCTCCTTGTTATTAAGAGTAGCATAGTATTGAGGAATGTCACCAGCATTCAGATGCAGTAGTTTTCTGTTTATTCCTTACGAAAATGGTTAACGGGTGCTTTAGGTGTTGTATTTATAATTGTTTAGTTTACTCAAGTCTGCAATTTCTATTGCCTGTGATCTACAACAGGTGCAGAGACAGCTACAGTTGCGGATAGAGGCTCAAGGAAAGTATTTAAAGAAAATTATCGAGGAGCAACAGCGTCTTAGCTGAGTCCTTGCAGAAACACCTGGATGTGGAGCTTCTCTCACAGAATTGTGTGACAATGGCCTGGAATATGACAAGACTGACCCTGCAACTCCAGCCCCAACTTCAGAATCCCCTCTACCAGATAAGGCTGCTACAGAAGGAGCCCCTACCAAGAGCCTCTCGATTGAAGAATCTTTATTGTCTCCGTGTGAGCCTTTGACCCCAGATTCCGGTTGCCAAGTTGGTTCCTCATCAGGGAGGGCTAAGAGCAAGAGGTTGATAAAGAAGCAACTGGTAGCATTTGCTAAACCCGAGATAGTAATTCCACACCACATATTTGACTCGAGCAAAAGTGCCTCCTACCAACAAACACGATCAGATTTCGTTGCTGACCAGTTTTATCCTTCATCTAGGATATCGATCAGAAATGACGGTCGATTGGGAAAGGCTTCAAGAACGGAGTTGTAGTTTATGTCCTATATGATATTCTTTTCATTCTGTCTGTGTATTTCTGACTAGGTTGAAAAATACTTGTGAACATTACTAGGGAGACTCGGCTCGAATTAAATAACATTTTCTCTATGCCAAAGAGTCTTTAAATTAAGTTTGATATCATCAAGCTCTTTATACATATATATATATATATGAATAATTTTCTCACTTTGATACATGCATATATAGGGAAAAGTGTACAATGAGTGAGTTAAGCTGTGGAAATAATCGGTGGCTGTGAGACGATACAGAGTCCGAGTCGAGGAAGCTGCAGCGGCCTTTTTAAGTGTTAAGATGCAGCAACTACCTCTTCTTGTTGACGCCGTCTTCTAAGTTCACCTTCGATCACATTCTGCGCTGCCTCTGCCATAGTTGCTGACTTCTCCGCGAACTCTGTCGCTGTCTTGATTTCCTCCATCGCTTTCAAGTTTTCTTCCACCTTCTCATCCGTTTCATTTTTTTGTGATTATCGCTTCCAGCTCTGCCATTGCAATGGCTATTTTATGCTCTGAAATATTCCCATATTCCTCTATTCTCTTTTGCAGTGCTTCATATTCCTCCTTGGAAAGCCTTATCTTTCCGTCATCGATCCCCCTTTCTAATACTCGCATTTCATCGAGCGCTTTCTTCTCTGCTGCTTTCGCCTCTTCAGCCTGTTCCAATGCATAATCTAGCTTTTCCTTCACCTCCATCACTGTCATTTCCGCCACTTGGCCTTCTTTCATCAGCGTTTCGATAATCTTCTTCATCTCTTCAGCTTCTTTTCTTGCAATCTCGGCTTCTAATAGAAGCTGTTGCAGCCTAACATTATGATCACCATTAAGAGATTCCCCTTCAGCCTCTTTGTTTGCCTTAATTTCATTTTGTTGTGCTTGTTTCATCTTCACCTCTTCAAGTTCCACCCTAATGGAGCTCACTAAATTCCGAAGAGAACACTCTTCATCGGCCACCATTTGCAGCGTCGTCGTAGCTTCGTTAAGCTCCGAAGTTAAAAGTCTAACAGAATCCATTTCTATAGCATGGACCTTCTTCATCTCTTCTTGTAACGCTTCGACCTCGGCCGTAGTTTCCATTAGCTTCTGTTCGAGAGACTTGGTTAACTCGGGATCATACACTTCCCTCGAAGCACTCAATTTCTTTTCGGCTTCCTCCTTAGCAGCCTCGTAAGATTTTTTCAATATCTCTCTCTCTGCTGCAATAGCCTCTTGCTCGTTGTGCACTTGTTGCGTAGCGAATTTCACTTGCTTGATAGCTTCCTTCATGGCCGCAATTTGTTTCGTGAGCTCGGCGACCCTTTCCGAATGCATCTTAGCCGAAAGCTGTGCTTCGGCCGCCTGTTGGAACGCCGCCAACTTGACTTCCAACGCCGAGTCGAAATCCTGCCTGATTTTATTCAGCTCTTGCTTCTTGGCATCGAGCTCGGATGCGACGGCGAGGTATTGCTCCCTAGCCGATTCGATTTCTTTTTTCCACGCTTCGTATTCTTGGCTGTGTTGCGATTTCGAGGGGTCGAATTCAGTGCCATGTTGCTTGACTGCTTCGGCTGCTTCGATTGCGGATTGCTTCGACTCGATTACTACTTTAAGTTTCTCAGACAATTCCTGTAATGTTTGCTTTGCGCTTTCAAGTTCACTATCTGCTTTAGCCTTTGTGGCTTCATCGCTCTCTAGCTTTTGCTTGATATTGTTGAATTCTTTCTCAGCTAGAAGAAGCTGTGTCTCCTTGTCTATAACATTCTGGCAAAGTTAAATTAGGAGTAAATTGTTAAACAATTAAATCTTGATGGAGTAATTTGATAATAATTATAAAGGTAAAAAGTATTGTACATGTCCCTATACTATAGTGTAGAGTACATTTTAGTCCCTTTACATTTTAATTATGAATATTAAATTAAAATTTACATACACATTTTAAAGTGACGTGATATATTTACCGGATCCAGTGAATTTAATTGATTAAGAAAGGTATGAAATCGAGTTATATTAAATGCAGCAGTTTGTTTTTTAACTGTTACAAAATTATCATTTTGCTTGCACTGATAATGCTGAAAATAAAGGGACCAAAATGCATTTTTGTTAAAGTAAAGGGACCTATACGGTAATTTAACCGTGTATAAAATGAAAAGGAGTTTGCGTTGCGTTTTATTACCTCCGCTGAAATTCTTGATTTTCTGGGAGTGCGACGTTCCTTGGTAACGGCAACTTCACCGAATAAACTAACGGCGGCTTTGACGGACTGAAACGGCGCTCTGGTATCGATCTCTCCTACCTCCGCCTTTGGCGAACTGCCAGCAGGGACGCGTTCGCTTTGGGCGCGGCGGTAAATGTTCACCATTTTAACTTGTCTTTCCTATCTTTCTTCGGAAACAAATTTCATTAACCTGCGGATGTTATGTCATCATTCCATCAATACAACTTTCACATGCATACACATGCATGCATTGCCTACAACCTCTAATCTAAACGTACGTAAATGTTCATGCTAACGTTAACGCATACATGCATAAATGGGATGAATATGAACCAAAGGAGCTTAAATCAATATGGCAATGCCCGAAAATCGAGATGATCGGAAAGAAACCTGACCAGAAGTAGATACGTCGAAGGCGAGAAAACAATGAAAATGAAAGCCTTTGAAGACGAAATGGAACCGGAACTTATGGGGGGTGACAAAGGAAACAAAATGTTGCCCAGAACGAGTGGTGGTGTATTATTTGGAAGAGATCCCCCTAGGTTTTCGGATTTTGAATGGTTTTACAAAATTCGCATAATACGCCATGCAAAAATATCATCTTTTGTTTTGATATTTCTGGTGCAAATAAGTTGTTAAAACCAATGGATATTTCCCTCTGTTTTTGACCATTTCCCGTATGATATATGTATGCCAAATATGAGTACTTGTAAATTTAATTATTTCGTAGAGGAATTAAATTGCATACTATGGTTAGAAATTTTGGGTTTAATTATTGATTTTGTTCCATAACGAAAATTGATAAATCTGGTAATAGTTTGTCTTTTTGAATCTGGTAATATTTCTTTTCGTTCTTTAGGTACCATTATGCAGATATCGATCGGACTTGGTCTCTCACCTTTCATCACAACCATTTTATATGTGCATAAATTAATCAACTGAAGTAACTTCTCAATTTTGATAAATTATGAGGGTCAAATTACAACAAATAGAAGTATAAAAGACTAAATTCATAATTTTCATAAAGCTTAGAGAGGACCAAAAATTTATATTTCTGTTACGAAGACGGTATGCCATTAACAATAACTTCATAAATGGATAATAACAGTAAAATCATATGGAAGCTTGCTGCTTAAACCACAGCTAAGTTGGCCGCAAAATTGAGATCTGCCGCCCAAGAAAACAGGGGCACACAGCCCTTGATTACTAATATCAGGTTCAGTTCCTTGCACACGGCCCTTCAATAACACGCCTAAAGGTGAGATTAATTCGAGTTGTCCCCGCCTTTGCACGCTTAGGCACAGAGTGTAGCCAATCGCGTTGAGTGTTCCCTTTCATTACCAACAGTGATCCGTGCTTAAGTGCGAAACGGTACTGATCGTCTTGGCTGCTTTTCTTGAACCTCTTCAATGGAGGTTTCTCATCAGATCTTTCTACCACTCGCAACAAGAACAGACAGAACAAATCAATGAAAATAATATTAAAAACATGGTGTGATGATGATCGACATTAAACCGAATAAATCACTACAGCTTCTACAAAGTTGTAGAGAAGGATAGGCTTTTGCACCTTGGGATGACTTGGGGCTTTTCTTCTTCAAAAAGAAATCACGTTCACATCCAAAGGAAACAGAAGCGATTTCAGGGGTTGATCCATAGAGCTTCTCGTCATCGCTATGCCAGCCTACATAATCATTACCCCCTTTGTACCGATTCAAAAGCAAGCTATTAAACTTGCTCCCGGGAAGCATTTTATGGACCTTAAGGAAATAGGCAACCGCATTAGATGGAACCAGAGAAAGGCATAGGAAACACTGGTGACTGCATACTAACCGCATCCAAGATGTCCTTCAGAGGGGGGAAATCATCCCAAGAATAAGCATGAGGCTGATATCCACTGTAAATCAAGTCGGGCAATCCAGCACTAGCTACATAACATGTGTCCCTTGGCTGCGCGCATGGGCAAATGCAGAATTAGAGATTAGTGGAACTGAACTTAAAAAAGTAACACAACCAACCATTCATGCTTAAAAAAAACAATGCTTTTTCTCAAAGTAAAACTGTTACTGGTTCGTTTATATATCTATCACTACAACAAAATTGAAAATTGCAGAAATCTATGATTGTCAAAAGGTAGCGTCACCAACCATTCATGCTTAAAAAACATGTTTTTTTATCTAAGACAAATCAATATCAGTTTGATTATATATCCGTAACTACAACAAAATAAAAAATTGTATGGACCATATGCACGTCAAAAGGTAGCATTATCAACAATTCCTGCTTAAATCACATGCCTTTTCCCCAAGGTAAATCAACATCAGTTGGTTCATATATCCATCACTAACAACAAAATTGAAAATTGCAGCGACCATCATCAAGTATAGAATAGTTCAAAAGCAAAGATACCAAACCGGTGATTTGTCGAAAAACAAACTTCTTCAAGGCAACATAGAGAAATGCAACAGAAGGCAAAACATGATCATAACCAACACAAAAAGGTGTATACCACACCACATTACTCTTCAACTGCCACTACTAAACGAAGTAAAAACCATTAACCAAGTAAAACATTGGAATCGTGTGCCGATTAAACCATGGATGGAGTGACAAAGGACATAATCTCGAATCTTCAATCGATACCGGTTCATGATTCGATCCTAGAAGGCTGCCCATAGTTTCAAATATTCTAACAGAACACATAAAGATCGATTCTTTCAACAAACCATGCATCAAAATTTCGAGTAAAATACATGGAATTATAAGAAAAAGAGAACCTGAATGCAAGATCGACCAAAGACGCGAATGGTGGGTCTGGTCCAAGGAATGTGATTGTCGAGGTAATTGAAGAATTCCCAGGAAGCATCGTATGCTAAAAACCTGGGAACGTAAACTACACTGCTTCCGTTTCCAAGATCAACAATTTGGGTCTTTTTATCCTTGTCGTCAGGGTTAGGGTTCGTCTTTAACTTAAAATTCATCAAACTCATTGAAGCAGGTAGCCTTTAAACAACAGTAATCTGGTAAAGCGGTAGCATTTGAATGCTTACATTATGAAAATGTATGTAGTTTACAAATGGGATTAGCATATGCAAATGGGTTTGTTCATGTATTTACCTTTAATTAAGCGCCAAATCCCCAAATATTCCAAACTAAGAATTAGCGCCAATCTCCAGGAATTAATAAAGATTGATTTACCATTACTACATGGAGTTTAACCGTCATTGAGGAGGGCGCCGCTGATGATGCAACCCACTATGCTTAAGACCACGTGTACGGTTCGCATGTGGGGGTGCAATGCATATGCCCCATAATTAATTGCACCTAAAAACAAAATATATTAATGAACAAAAAACAATTTTAAAAATATTCCTTCATTTAAAAAAATGTTAATAAAGATTGGTAAAAGTACGATACAAGCCCCTATACTACAAAACTGATTACATCTTGCTCTCATATTTTTCAATGTTGCATCATCTAATTAAGGATTATTATTTAATATGTAAATTGTGTGAAATAATTTTACTCTTTATTTTAATTTTAATTTTTTTTTATAAAAACAACTAATTTTATTTAAAATTAAACATCTCAAATTACAATAAAGATTTGCAATCACGATTGTAAATTAAGCACATAATTAGGAAATTTTATATAATCATTGTAACAAAACTAGCAACTTAAGATCATATAAGGACCAAACAAGGAAAGATTAAAAATTTAACCAAGAAACTCGAACAAAGATAAATACAAATAGATCTGATCGCATCGACAAATAAACCACAAAAGGTGATCAAGCTATTGAAAGACCAACGACAAACCACAAATCAAACTCGAGAGATGTGAAAAGCTATCCACAAACGTAAATCGAGTATCCACATCCAATCCAAAGGTTCAAAGTAGGGAAAATCAACAAGATATCATATAAACGTTATCCTGATCAATCGTGGCGATGTCAAATCAACATTTAGAAAAAGATACATGAAAAAATGCTAAATAATTGAAAAACATGCCAAAAAGCATAAGAAAATGTGTCATAAAGGAAGATAAAAATGTGTCATATCGATAGAGTTATTGAAAATCAAAAAACAAAAGAAAATAGAAATACAATATAAAGAAAGAAAAAGACAATAAAAAATATTGATGGTTGACAACTAACATTAAAATTGGTGCACCACCGATCAACAAAGAAGAAAAAAAATAGTTTTAAATTTCAAATCTTAAATTTTAAACTCTAAATAATAAATATAAACTTTAAATTTTAAATTCTAAATAATATGTAATAAATATGACTCATGATGTTAAAATGTAAAATTTACGTGGTCTATTTATTAAATGATTTTTTAATTAAATTAATCAAATTAAGAGATAAAATAATTTAAACTATTCTTAACTTTCAATCTATAAATTAAAAATAAAGTAGTCCTAAATGTATTTAAACTCATGATTTTTAACATTATACAAATTAAGAGCTTATGTTGTGTTTCAAATAAAGTTCAGAATTTATCTTTGTTAGTTTAAAATTAGCGTCTTTAATTAAGATTTTGTTTCAGTTTTCACTAGGTTTAGACATCAGATTTTTTAAATATTTAAATATAATTTTTTAAATATGTATTGAGAATGATTGAAAATAAGGTTTATAAAAGTATATCGTAAATGTCATTCGACTCATATTTACATTCATATAATTATGTATCTTCGACTTGTAATGTATATTTTTAATCTTTTTGAAAAAAATGAATAATTTTTAGTTTATTTATTTTCTTTCATTTTGACTATATTTTTAAAAGTTTTAAACTATTATTGCAAAGTGAACATAATATATATTCTTTATCAAAAAAATCTTTTAAAAGTATATTTTTTAAATATATATAGAATATGATGCAAAATCTTAAATTTAAATAATTATGTCTATGAATATATATATATACATCATTAATAATTAAAAAATTTAAACAAATATTAAATTATAACCGTCTTAAAATATTAAAAAATCCATTCACAAAATTAATTTACAATCTTGTTAATTAAAAAATTATTATTATTAGTTAATAATTGGGCAAAAAGGCTTGCCAATTGATCATTTTTTTATTTTTTGTGACCGGAAGGTGAGATGTACTCGACGCCAGATCACGGCAAAAGCTGCATTCGACCGTCCTCGGATCATAATAACGACAATCTTAATACCCCTTCCAATCAGCACCATCACGTGGCTTTTAACCCAACATCTTAAAACACAACCTAAATTTATTATATTTCTATATATATACATAAACTCTTCTTAGCCTCTCGGTTGCTTTACTACTTTCATTTTCGAGATCAGATCAGCGAGGGATCCATCCAAGCTATGGCCGAGAAGGTTTCCAAAATCTTATCTCCTTTTCTTATGTTGTTCTTAACTGCTAATACCCTTTCTTTTCATTTGTCAATGCTTGATCTATCATCATGCATTCTGACACGGGGTAAGTTTTTTAGGTGACGACAATGGTGCTGAAGGTGGACCTTCAGTGCTTTAAATGCTACAAGAAGGTCAAGAAAGTTCTCTGCAAATTCCCTCGTGAGTTTCTTCTTGTTGATTTTTCTATATTATCTTTTGTTTGCAGTTAGTTTTGGTAAGTTGATTGATCTTTGAGCTGAAGATGAAACCAAATGGTGTTTGAGTTGTTCTTGTTTTATGATTTTGTTATGGACAAGAGAAATACGAGACCAGATTTACGATGAAAAGGCCAACACAGTGACCATCGCTGTGATATGCTGTAGCCCGGAGAAGATCAGGGACAAGATATGCTACAAAGGTGGCGGATCCATCAAGAGCATTGAGATCAAGCCGCCGGCGAAGCCCAAGGAACCAGAGAAGCCGAAAGAGGCTGAGAAGAAACCCGAGAAGCCTAAAGAGGCTGAGAAGAAACCCGAGCAGCCTAAAGAGGCCGAGAAGAAATCTGAGAAGCCGAAAGAGGCCGAGAAGAAGCCAGAGAAGCCGAAAGAGGCCGAGAAGAAGCCAGAGAAGCCGAAAGAGGCCGAGAAGAAACCGGAGAAGCCTAAAGAGTCTGGGGAGAAGAAGGCTGATAAACCAAAAGAGGCTGAGAAGCCTAAAGAGGGTGGGGAGAAACCCAAAGAGGCTGCTCCGGCGGCGCCACCGAAGGCAGTGGAAGCCGCGCCTTTACCGGCGGCGGCGTATGCGCTCGGTTATTCGTATATGGATGGTTATCATCATGGCTGGGGTGGTGGGGTGCCTAGCTATTATGGTGGACCACCCCAACAACCGTTTCAAAACTACGAGACTATTGGTAGGCCGGTTTATGACAGCTGGGGCAGCGGCGGCGGCTACTACAGGTACGGATATGGCGGCGGCCGCACCGGTGAATGTTTTAGCGATGAAAACGCGCAAGGGTGCTCGATAATGTAAGAAGAACGTGGTGCTGAATTTGATGATATACTTGGTAATCTCTCGTGTTACTTCGTTGAAAATGGAGTCATTTGTGTATTTTATTTCTTTTTCTTTTTCTTAAGAGTTCAAAAAATAAATGAAGTTTCCAATTTGTCAGAGCCTTGGTTTTTAATATACGGAGGAATTTATTAACAAAAAGAATCAGTCATTGAAAGAATCTTCTCAAATGCAAGTTTGTATCACACATATGTTTGAAATATTCTCTACAATAAATATGAAGTAATATTTCATCTCAGTTTTCTGATGGATGCAATGCTAGTGCCGGAAGATTGCGACATTTTGCTTGAACGGTTTAAAATTCGGGGACAAAAATAAAATTCGGGTAATAGTTTGAGGACACCTGGTGGGATTAACCCTAATATACAGAAGTGAAAGAGGTGGAATAAATTAGACAATAATTGCACCATGCATCCAAGAAGAAAAGTTTACCTCCGGTGGGCTCCTCGTCCCCTGGCCAGTATCCAAACGCCAAGAGGATGACGTGAAATGGCCAAACAAGTGTTTCCCACACTACAAACTAGCAGACAACCCAGCAACATCAATTCCTAATCACCTCCCCACTTTTTCAACTTCTCAATAGAGCTCAAATTCAACATGTACTTATTTTCATTTAATCTTAAGTCGGATTTTCCAATTGAATCACGACTCTCACGTTCATCAAATGTTAGAATTGATTTTGAAATGTATAATTTACCCATAAGTTCTGGAATTTATTGAGCCAAAGCAGATAATATTTTTTTAAAACTAGTGTGGAAAATAATTATAGTGCCCAGTGATTTTCATACCTGCATTATGAAAATAATTATAGTGGGAAAGCAAGGTTATAAAACTACCAGAAATAACTCATCTCATATTGGCTAAACAAGTAGTAACAACTTCTAAAGCAAAAACCTAGAGCAAGTTTAATATGCTAACAAGATTATTCACTGAAAATTAAATGCAGAACCTCAGATATAAGTTAACCACTACTTTTTTACACCCTCTGTCAAAGCCTTTTCTTCCTCGTCGGTCCATCTATTAATATTTCTCCTTCTCCCCCACCTTTTGGGTTTGTCTATGTTCAGGGGAGACACATGCTTCGTTCTGGGGCTTGGTAAAGTATATCTGCTCAGACAACTATTTGTACCTTCGAAAGAGTCATCAATAGAATCCTCCCACTACAATAACACTCAAAACATAAGACAGATGAAAAGACAACATAATATGGTTAAAATATCAAATAGGGATTTAACTTAAAGAATGCAAGTAAAAAAATCAAATGACCATAAAAGCTCATCCCAAGATTTCACAAAACAATACCCAGTCAGACAGGGAATAAATAGAAATATCATTTAAGGATATATATATAAAAAAAAAACATAGCAGGAGATTACGATTATGATTTAAAGCAAGCAATTCAATGAAAAGCAATAGTTATAACAATTAAACATGCAACGTAACGCCAATAATGATACTAAATATAAATATGTGCACACACACCTCAAAACAGCAAGCAGTGTCATTCCTCTCCATTAATCCGGTCCTTGGCACTTTCTTAGGCCTACTAAAAGCTTCATTCCCCTCCTTAGCTTGAGAGGGTTCTCCAGTATGATCAGCAAATGGAGCAGGAACATTCCCATCCATCCTGTCGAGGTCTTTTCTGATGGACTCATCAGGTGACCCATGTTCCTTATTTCCATTGCCTTCAGAATGCATTTTTTTTGCTTCTGCCACATATGATACAATTCTTTCAGTAATTTCCAAGGTCATAGGGAGAGGATCATCTACATTAGCTACCAAGTCAACAATACTCGACTTAAGCGAGTCTCGTGCTTTGTCAATTTCAAGGCTTGATAGAGAGACATATTTCCTGCAGGATGGCCAGTCCTCTCTATCAACAATGACAGCAGGTTGTTCATAGTGCCTCTGTGTAGAACTAGGGTCACATCTTGTTTGAGAATTCACCATCAAAATCCCTAAAGAACAAACCAGTTAGAAAAAACAAAGGACCATTGTGACCAAGGTTACAACATCTAAACTAAGTAATAACAATACGAGGTAAAATGTAAGAAGAGAAATGAGACAATTCATTCTGACAAACATTCTTAAACCAACAAAATAGAAGCTTTTGCACAAAAACTTAATCATACATAGCATTGCATAATCTTAAGAAAAAAAATTAACATTTTTACTAGAGAAGAGAAATCTACGTTTTCCTTTGTCAGTGCAACAATTAGTAGGATCATCCATTTCCTTACTGGAGTCTTCCACAATGCCTTCAACATGTGATTTTTCATTTTTCGTGCCAGAGGCGACCATTTTAACTGCATCCAAAGCTTCAGAGAGGGAATCAGTTACTTCATCTACCAATGCACCAGTCATATCTTTAAATGGAAGCTTCTGCATTCCTTTAAATTCGGAAGCAGATTGGGAGACATTTTTTGTGCAACAAGGCTGGTCCTCCTGTAAACCATCAATTTTATGTTGCATGCGGGAAGAATGCCACTTATGTTTTGTGTGAGAATTTGCCCTTAAAATCTCTGCAGAACAAGGTAATCAGAACAAATCAAGACCAATATTACCATAACTAAAGCTACTTGGGCACGTATAACCAGATTCTCCGGATGACCGAGGAAACTAGATCCAAAAAGACCAAGAATACCATTACTGTAGTTAAATGGGTATGCACAGCATTACGAGAAACATTTACACAGAATTGAGACTTAGATTCGTTTACGTACATTCTTAGACCAACATATTATACAGCAAATTATTCATGCATATCATGAGATATTATACCAACGTAATGTAGTGCAAATTATATGGTGAGCATGGCATAATCTCCTAAAAAAAAATTAAAACTTGGAACAAAACAAGAAAAAACAGAGAAGAGAAGCCTACTGTTCACTTCATCAATGCTACAATTAGGACTCAACTCAAAGGGTCTTGAGCTGTACCATTGACAACATTATCGGAGGCAAATTAACACAGAGAATTGAGCTATGATTCATTCTACATCTTATAACAACATATTATATTGCAAATTAAACATATATGGCATAGCATAATAAAAAAATATTAAGACTTAAAATAAAATCAAAAGAAGAAGGGAAGAGGAGCCTACCGTTCCCTTCAGTAGGAGCAGAAGCAGAAGCATAGTCAAAATCATCTGCAGTGGGATCCCCTGGCAATAGACTGAAGGCCTCCTTTAAATAAACTCGAATTAGGTGCAGCGCTTTATCAAGAGTATTAATAGGTAACAGCCTCTTAACGGACTCTCGATCCCATAGTGCCGCTTCGATATCCTTCCTCCATTTAGCTAAACCAGTAGAAAGAAGGCGGAGGCACCAGACAGCTCCAAATTAACAATTTGCTTTGCCCAAATCCTCCGTACAGCATCGTAGTAGTCATCCCACGAGACGGGTAACCAGTGGAGCGTAAGGTGTACGGCGACGGCGCAAAAGGCTTCCCGCATGTCATCAGAGGGGGGAACACCTCGCCGGCGGTATAATTTGCACTACATGACGTTGGTATAATATCTGTCGTGGCAAAGTAAAAAATCTTTCATAATATAGTAGTAATTAGAACCCATTACCATCCTGCTATTAAGATATTGCTTGAACATAGAAGGTCATGTGCTGTGGTTTCAATGCTTCTACCAGTAATAACATCGCGAACAACATTTCAGGAATTCAGTTCTTGCGAACCTAACAACTCCTAGTAGTCGGCATGACTTGTTCCTCCAAGATTTAAATCCCTGTTTGACACCTTATTATGCCAAGACAAAATCCAAGGTAGATGACAGTCCTAAAATTATAGATGTCGTTGTTCATATCCATTATGAGTAGTCATAGATTGTAGAGATGCCTACATGACATGAGGAACAGGTGCTTTAATAAACATCTTGCAGAAATTTGATGAGATTCAATACGACCTACTGCATAACGAAGCCTTATCTGTCAATAAAACGGCAAGCATTCGATGAGCTTGGATTTAGCTCTCATAGCAAGAAGCTATCCGAAAGTTCAGGTCATTACAGGGATTCTTATAAAGGAAGCACCATGGCTCGGACCAATCGCGGATCAGAAAGCAAATATCATCATCATCATCATGAACCTTTGTCCATAGCTTTTTATGGTATCCCTCAGCTAGGCATTTGTTTTATTTGTTTCGTATATTTGTCACCTTTCCTCTGGTGTTAAATGGCATCAATGCTTTAAGCTCATTAAAAATTAAGGGATAATATTTGTCGAGTTAAATCCTTGGTGCTGATGCGTTCTGATTGTTGTGGCTACTCCTGCTTACAATCAGAAGTCAATGAAATGTACTATTGGTAATTATCGCTACAATATTTATAGAATAAAGCATTTCCACTGCGAGAATATATGTGCATATCCATCTTTTACTTGTCCATGCATATTTCATATAAAGCTTCATGTAACATTTGAAATCATTAATTTGCAATTTATAAATCTATTTGTATCAGCTGAACTGAACTCCTTTGCTTAATGCATTAATTATTAAATTCATCCAAGTAAAAAGCTCAAAATTCCTACATATATATAGATACATTACATACTCCACTGATCAATGGCTTGCACGTGTTTCACCTGTCTTGCATTGCAGTTGTTGCTATTATTACATATATGACAAAGATGAAATTAAGCAACCCACAGGACTAGGCCTGTGAAACAAAGTAGTTTTGGCCTAAAATCTACCGCCCAGAGCTGCCTTTGGCTTTGTTTTTACCAAATAACCTAAATAGAGAGAAAGCAGAGGTACAAGACAGGACTACCGCGCACACACTAACTAGTAAAGCCATTGCTATTCCTTCCCCAACTTGGTTGCAAAACTTGCCGTACATGTTGCATATCTTCATCCATTGAAGCTCAGTTTGCCCCAACTTTGCAAACACCGCCGACTGCACGGCAGCTCCAACAGCCGCCACGTTCAGATACGCCATGGCCTGCATTTACATTGCAAAATACACATAATATGTGTTACTTTGAACTGTGTTTCAAAGGACTGATTCATGTTTTCGGTGCCGCTGAAGAACCAATGCATCCTCGAAATTTTACCCTTATCAACAGCAGCACCCAAAAAGACAATACCTTCACGTTATCAACACGGTATGCCTTCACCTTGAACTCTCTTATTATTGATACCAAACGAGACGGAGAGATTTTTCATTTTTCAACACTATCTATCACTTAATATGAGTTAAACTATACCAAAAGTCACTAAACTATGCTCAAATGATCGTTTTGATCATTGAACTTTCAAATGTCACTAATGCTAATGGTCATTGAATTTTATAGAATTGTTATAAGTGACCATTTTATATCTTTTAAAAGCTCAGTGATAAAAAGATTATTTGAGCATAATTTAATGACCTATGGTGTAATTTACCTAAAACATAAAGGCTTGACAGCAAATATCAACGACCCTCACCAACACATTAATTTCGACATTAAATGCTAAAGACCTTCAATTTATTTCACCCGATTTGGTTAGTGCTCTTAAAATTGGCCACTTCAACATTGTTTCCCCCACCAGGTAAGCAAGCAAAGCAAATAGCCAAAGGGAGAAATAAGGCACCTGATCTCCAGTGAAAATGGCCCAAGCCAAAGGCTTATGCACAAGCACACTCCCTCTCACCATACCTACAACACAACGAACCACTTGTATGAACGAATAAGTTGCAGATACCCCATTAGCCACCACCAAAAACCTATAAAAACGGCCATAAAACAAAATCAAGTTAAAAAAACAAGGGAATGTTGGGTTTTTTTTTTCACTGGGAGGGAAATAGAGAGTTTCTTACACAAGAGCTTTCATGTCAGTAAACCTAGCGTTCTTTCGAATGGTGAAGATTTCTTTGACTTGAGAGTCGGTTCCGATAAGAAGAGCTGCGAGAAGACTGAAGCCACATATCAAACACCTTAGGACCAGCTCTGCAACTCTCACTCTTCTGTCGATTACCTTCAAATTGGTGGCGTGGTAAACGGGGACATTACCGGGACTGATCCCCACACCCAAATAATTCATTTTCTTTAATTGGCCACTCAGAAAAGGAAACAAGAAACAGAAAGAGCCCTGAGAGAAACCGTGAAGCACAAAGCATTTACAAAGCCTTCGATATGAATGACTCAACTAACCAGGCAACCACGCCCCTCGTTGCATAAATAGGCGTGCCCGCTCCATGTTAGTTGATCAACTTAAAAGGGATTATTGACCTACTTAATTTAACCACAATTATATTTATTTTTTCCTTTCCTTTTTGTTTAAAGGTAAATTTTAATTTGTATATTTTTATTATATATTTTTAAATTTTAACCACAATTATACAATTTTCTTTTAATGCAGTTTCTGATTAGTGGTGGAGGTTTGCTGTACGAGTATGTGAGTGCCACGTGTCACATAGTAAGATATGCTAATGAGACGTGGAGGCGTGGGGCACCTCGATATAACTCTTTGTGGGACATTAAGTCATTAATCATTCTTGAATTATTTTAAGTACATATGAAATAAAATTCAATTTGATAAGGTAAAAATATATTATTTAAATTTATTAAGTGATATTAATAATAAAAAATTATTTTTTAGAAAATTTAATTTTTTCATTAATATGGATAAGTACAAGGTAATATATTTTGACATTAAATGTTTATATCATTGACATCTATAGTACTCGTACTCGGATCTCTAATGAATAATAACAATTCTAATATTGCATACATTATTTGATTCGTGTTTAGAGAACTTAACTTAAAATAATTGTGCTTGCAATGTGTGTATTATTAAAAATTTAAACAAATATTATCTTATAAAAACTATAGACCATTTTAAAAAGTAAATGATTTAGAAGTTTTAGTACAACTGTTGTTCAATTATTGTACAACTAATTGGTTTAGTGAGAAGTTTGTATTAGAATTTTTAAAATAATATCATAAGTTTGAATCATGAGATGTTAATGAAATAAACTGAGTTTGAATGATTGTTTTATAATGATTTTATGTAATATTTTATCATAATTAATTAACTAATAGATTGAATATATGAGATTAAATCAAAAAATTCAATCATTAAATTATTGAATTGATATTATTATAATAACTAAAGGGTTCACAAGTTTAGTTTTGAATAATTGAATTAATAATCCGATCAATATAATTTATTTGAACACATTCAGTTATTTTTCCACACTATATTCCATGGGATTAGAAGGGTAAAACATGGAACCGATTTCCATAAATGAATGTTCCACCTCACAAGGCTTTCGGTGGTTGTCGTTACCCATACTTCAAGGCTGATCGATGGGTGCATTCAATGACACATATTGATTTAATAATTCAATTTTAATTTGAATTTAAATTTGGTGTTATATTTGATTTTTCCGGTTATAA